TGAAACAGGACAGAGAAACAGGACAGTGAAACAGACAGTGAAACAGGGCAGTGAAACAGGACAGAGAAACAGGACAGTGAAACAGACAGAAACATTAGGCACCCGAGTTAAAGATGTCCTGTGCAGTACATTTCAGGCTGAACCATTCTCCCTTGGTCACTATTTGTTTGGCACATCATACTCCTAATACTTTAACACTTTAAAATGGTTACGTTGTTATGGGTACAGTGTGTTTTGTTCTTTATTATGGTGTTGTCTTAATGACATTGCTCGTCCATATATTTATTTATAGATTCTTAATTCCATTGCTTTACTTAGATTTGTGTGTATTGGGTATATGTTGTGAAATTGTTAGATATTACTTGTTAGATATTACTGCACTGTCGGAGCTAGAGACACAAGCACTTCGCCACACCCGCAATAACAGCTGCTAAACACGTGTATGTGACCAATAACATTTTATTTTTTAATAAATCTCACAGCCTTTATGTCCTAGAGACAGTGAGCCAACCACTAATGTGGAGAGCAACCTCTACACTGAAGAGTATGGCTGCTTCTGTAATGACACCCTATTCCCTATATAGTGCATAACTTTTGACATAGAGCTCTGGTCAATAGTAGTGCACTATATAGGGAATAGGGTGCCATTTGTGGCTTAGCTAAACTCATGAAAAAAGAGAGGTTTCATCTGCTTCCTACAATATCTCTTCAGGGTCTGCCATTTTATTTGGCAAGCCTCCAGTTGATTAAAAGCAGAGGAAGCTACTCTTCCCCGTGTCTACAAGGAATGGAGATACTCCCAGATCAGAGGCATACATGTGCAAACAATTACTCAATCTCAAAGCAGTAAAAACACACAAAAAATACTGTAGAAAAAGGCAACAAAGTGAAATAATTTTCTGACAGAATACAAGCAGCACAATAAAAAAACAATACATTAAATAATCCTCCAGTTCAAACATTACAACTAGTCCCTGCATTTAGTAAATAACCTTATAAATAAAAAAAGCTATTTATTTTCCCATAAAGAACATTTTCAGTACATTTTTCCTACATGACCTGCCAGGGATTGTGAGGTTCTTCTATAGTTCTACTGTCCTCCTCTTGACTGGTCCAGTTGCATGTCAATAACAACACATTTCTGATCTCTCCACTGCCACATGTGCATTTTTGGCATGTCTTTAACCATGAGTACTTATGGGTTATTTTGAAGTCCAAAAACAAGTGGAATTCACTTACATTTATCAGACGCCCTTATCCAGAGAGACTTACAGGAGCAATCAGGGTTAAGTGCCTTGCTCAAGGGCACGTCGGCAGATTTTTCACCTAGTCTACCTACCTCACTTGTGAGAATCCACATGACATCGGCTGCATTTACACAGTCAGCCCAAGTTTCTGATTCTCTTTCCATTCATTGGTATTTTGACTAAATCAGAACAGCTCTTTTGACAATAATTGCACAAAAGACCAGAATTAAGCTGCCTGTGTAAACGCTGACTTAGTGGTTTGATTACTCCAAATACACTAGGCCCACAACATATTAGGAATGATTTAGTTTTTGAATAGTCTTTAAAGTCGAATAAGGATATAGAAATTAAGGAATATAAAATAGAGATTATTATTCATCCTTCATGTAAACGCCACAGGTTCCTTTACTCCAATAAGGTAGTCCACCTGTCTACAGTCCTTCATGTTAAACGGTAAAGCCTTTTTTTCCATCCTCACGTTGAATATCTTGCACCTTCACAGTGTTGAATCGTATAGATATGACGAGTAATTCAGTATAGCGATGAGGCCTAGAGAGACAAGAGAAAAGAATGGTCAGGCGAATGGAAGTGGTTTTATAGAGTAAAGGTCATTAGTTAGTTTAGTTACACTTCTTCAACATGACAGTTGTAGGTGAGTTCACCTATTCACATTCCTAGCCGTCGCATTGATTAAACAATATTCACGCCTAAATCACTCCTTATGAGAGCTTGATTAAACATTATTCACACCTAAATCACACATTATGAGAGCTTGATTAAACATTATTCACACCTAAATCACTTGTACTACTAAGTTGATGGAATTGTTTTAAAAAGGTCATACCAAGGATCATTTTTGCAACAAAAAAAAAACGTATTTCTGGCGCTAAAAAGTCTAAACCCTGTCTAAGCCGTGGGAGGGGGGTTTCTACTAAACTACATGGAATTGTTTTAATGTCATACCAAGGATTATTTTGCTAATTGATTTTGAATTTTAAGACACATTGAAGTATCAAATAATATAAAAACAATTATTTGATGAAAAAATGTATTTGGCCTTACTGCTATTAGCCCATACAAACACATTGAATAACATATTCACTACATGGAACAACAGATAGTCCCCCCCAAAAAAAATCTAAAGGAAGTTTGTTCTGAAGTGTCTATCCTAAATCTGAGCGATATAAGATAGATCAGGAAACATTTGTTACTTTTTTACATTAATTTAACCCCTTCTTTTTTTGTCAATAAACAGTTTCCATATATACCAGTGCATTCAGAAAGTATTCAAACCCCTTGACTTTTTCCACATTTTGTTACGTTACAGCCTTATTCTAAAATGTATTAAATTGTTTTTTCCCTCATCATTCTACACACAATACCCCATAATGACAACGCAAAAACAGGTTTTTATAAAATGTATAAGGAAATATCACATTTACATAAGTATTCAGACCCTTTAATCAGTACTTTGTTGAAGCACCTTTGGCAGCGATTACAGCCTTGAGTCTTCTTGGGTATGACGCTACAAGCTTGGCACACCTGTATTTGGGGAGTTTCTCCCATTCTTCTCTGCAGATCCTCTCAAGCTCTGTCAGGTTGGATGGGGAGCGTCGCTGCACATTTATTTTCAGGTCTCTCCAAAGATGTTCGATTGGGTTCAAGTCCAGGCTCTGGCTGGGCCACTCAAGGACATTCAGAGACTTGTCCCAAAGTCACTCCTGCGTTGTCTTGGCTGTGTGCTTAGGGTCATTGTCCTGTTGGAAGGTGAACCTTCACCCCAGTCTGAGGTCCTAAGCGCTCTGGAGCAGGTTTTCATCAAAGATCTCTCTGTACTTTGCTCCGCTCATCTTTCCCACTGTGTTCTTGGGGACCTTCAATGCTGCAGACATTTTTTGGTACCCTTCCCCAGATATGTGCCTCGACACAATCCTGTGTCGGAGCTCTACGGACAATTCCTTTGACCTCATGGCTTGGTTTTTTCTCTGACATGCACTGTCAACTGTGGGACCTTATATAGACAGGTGTGTGCCTTTCCAAATCATGTCCAATCAATTTAATTTACCACAGGTGGACTCCAATCAAGTTGTAGAAACATCTCAAGGATGATCAATGGAAACAAGATGCACCTGAGCTCAATTTCGAGTCTCATAGCAAACGGTCTGAATACTTATGTAACTAAGGTATTTCTGTTTTTCATTTTTAATAAATGTGCAAAAATTACTAAATAGCTGTTTTCACTTTGTCATTAGGGGGTATTGTGTGTAGATTGATGAGATTATAATATTTTTATTATCAATTTTAGAATAAGGCTGTAACGTAACAAAATGTGGAAAAATAGCGGTCTGAATACTTTTCGAATGCAGTGTACTGCCATTCATTTTTGGGACTGGTACCGGGGGACCTTCAGACGAGTCTTGTGGGCGTCCTAGAGCAAAACAACCAAAATGTACGTGTTCATGAGACTCTCACTTTTACACAGAGGGGTCATATTAGTGTGTAGCCCAAACTGTTCGGACGCTACAGACAGAAGTTGGCAGATCGGCTGTACCGACTTCAGACAAGTCCCAAGATGCTTGTGGGGGTCGTAGAGCAAAACAAAACAGAGCACACCATCGTGTTCGTGAGAGTCTCATCTTTCCATAGAGTTTGTAGGCCAAACTGTTCAGACGCTACAGACCGATCTTCGGGATTCCTTATGGTCTAACAAACACCGCTCTAGCTCTGTCACCTTTCACTGCAGATGCGGAAGTGTTACATAGGCGGTGGATTGAGATGCATCCCAAAAAAAACCTGGATATCTCTAGCTTAAATGGACTGATGTTTATGGGGATTTTTTTAAATATGCTAATTAGCTTTCCGTGGGAGCGCGGACATTGGCCTTAGGGGGTCGACCAATGAACACTGACCTGCACGGTCTACCACCACCATGTCCCTTTATCCCAATTCTAATCAAACCGGTTGGAGAATAGAGAACTGTATGGAGAGAGAGAGAGAGAGAGAGAGAGAGAGAGAGAGAGAGAGAGAGAGAGAGAGAGAGAGAGAGAGAGAGAGAGAGAGAGAGAAGCATTCCTTAGAAGACAAAGAGCACCACTCCACTCCACTCTGCTTTCTATCAGACCAGAGCTATGACCATCCCCCTCCACACACACACACACGCGCGCGCGCGCACACACATGGGGTTCAGCCCACCCAGGCCTTTCAAACAGACATCAGGCTTCTACTTCAATAAACAATGGGGGCCACCACCATAGACTTCCCATCTAAACCGTTCTACCTAGTCCCACTGGACTGACGAATCACAGCCTCTGCGCTTCTCTCCCACTCTACCTCCTCTTCACACTCATAACAACATCTGGTTAGACTAATGTTCATGGATCTACTCTCACGGCTGCAGTCCATCAACCTATTAGGATAAACCCCTGTATTCCTGCATTATCATCTAATATGATAATAATCTAGGATTGAAAAGGAATTGGTTGTTTTTAAATGCGCTGGATTACTTATTAGTAGTTATTAACTTATTCATATTTGCTCTATGCTATGATTTAGAAAGCTCTACGAGTTGTCAGGCAGGAGGACTGCTGTGGTGTTTCTGGCTGAATATCAGTCATCATTCCACAATTGTACTTGTTCAAGACAAACGGACAACCGGACAAACGGACAACCGTTACTGTGGAGCCCTGAATATTTATCATCCATCATTCCACTCACCGTGAGGCCAACGCTTGATGCTGAGTCTGAGTCCAGTCCTCAGTCTGGGAGGTGTTTCCAGGTGGAGACGAATGCTGTGGGGATGAGTGAGTAGGGTACGGTAGTGATGCTGTTCCACGCGTCCAGTGTTGGATCGTAACAGTCCAGAGTCTTACACCGCTGAGTGCCAAAGTAGCCCCCCACCACGTACAGTTTGTTACCTGACGCCACCGCCTGGCAGCTCATCCTCTTGGCGGTCACGTCTGCTACTTTAGTCCACTGGTAGCTGTCGCTGCTGAACTTATAGGCAGAGCACGCCGAGAACTCTGTGTCGCCGCCCATCACAAAGATCTGGTTGTTGAGGACGGCTGCGGCCGTGTAGCGCCAGGGCTGCGGGCAGGAGGCGGGGACGGACCACCTGTTTTCCTGCGGGTCGTACATCTGCACCTTGGGTAATTTGTTGTGGGCGACGCTGGTTCCTCCGAAGGCGAAGAGTTTGAGCTTGACGCTGACCACCGCCGCGTTGCTCACGCCCTCCCTCAGCGGCGCCACCATGCACCACTTGTTGGCGACCGGGTCGTATTTCTCGACCTGTTTGAGTGACCCCGAGGGCGAGGCGGGGAGACAGCCTGTACCCGCTGTGTGTCCTCCAACCACGTAGAGGCAGTTTCTGAGCTCGGCCGAGCCGTGGCCAAAGCGGGCGATGATCATAGGCGCTGCCTTGGACCACTCCTCGTGGGACGTATCGTAGACCCACACGTCTTTGGACACGCCGTTCTCTGAGCCCCTCCCGCCGGTAACATAGACCTTACAGTTGATGGCGCAAGCGCTGAACTCCTTCCTGGGGCTGGGGATGTCGGCCTTGGGGATGATCTCCTTGGCCTTCTGGTCCACCAGGTACAGCTTGTCACACATGAAGGTCTGTCCTCCCAGGAGGAACAGGGCGTGGCTGGTCTTCCTGGGCCTGGCCAGGGGGCTGTTGACCACACCATCATTCTGGAGGATCCTCAGTTTATAGCGTATGGCCTCGTCCACCAACTCCTTGCTCTTCGTCTGGGCATTGATCAGCTCCTCTGTGGACACGTTCTCCATGAGGAAGATGGTGGGGAGGAGGGCCAGGCGGACCGTCCTCAGCAGCTCGGGGAGGTGGCAGTGCCTCCTCTCCAGGTCATAGTTGACCCAGTTGAGGGCGGCCTCGTAGACCAGCCTCTCGTCCTCAGTCTCTAACTCTTCATGGGACAGCAGCGTCACCGCCATGTCCTTGGGCAGCTGGAGGAAGTCCTCCATCTTGCAGATGGCGGGGAAGTTGCTGAGGCACATGCCCCAGGAGAGCTCGGACAGCTTGGTGCACTGGTGGGCGTCGGACAGCAGAAGCATGCCCAGGCAGTTGGACGTTGCCAAGTTCCGCTCCAGAAACTCAGCGCAGGCATCCCGGATGTCCTGGAACTCCAGCATGTCCCCGGCCTCCAGTAGGGATTCCGCGTTCTCCTCGTTGATCACCACCCTGGATGTGTAGGCATAGTCTAGTAAGAGCTCCAGGACCTCTGGGTGGATGGAGTCCCTGAAGTCCACCTCGCTGGCCTGGCTCTCCCGGAGACCTCCACTGAACATGGCCTGGAACAAGGAGAGTGGGACACCAAGAGTTAGCTTGTTAGCATTAGCATTGTTAGCATTGGTATGGCGGCAAACTTATCATATTTTCCTATTGGAGATGCTCACAGTTCTCTGTCTAAGTAATAAGTGGCCGTGTTTGAGAGCTTCAAATCCGTGACGCATTGTGGGTAAATTGTGACTGACTAACTGATCTACTGTACAAATAATAATGAGTAGTAATTATGATGCAAGGTGATTTGTACAGATGTACTATCTTAATTTGATCACTCTGTTGTTGCAGAGAACTTTCCTGTGACGTAGGAAATTCAAATGAGCCTTGTGATTTACATAAATTCACTGAAAACCCGTAGTTCTCTTTCTCTCACTAGAGCTCACACCTAAACTCTAGCCCACTGTAACCTATTAAAAGTCATTTCCTGTTAGAAATGATTATTTATTTTTTTATTAACCAAATTCTCCTCCTGCAGGATTATTTTTTACTCCTGCGATGAAACTGGTCAAATTAAGATCCTACATCTGTACATCAGTCAGTCAGCGGTTGTCTGCAAATTCAGCTGCAACGGTAAACAAGCCCAGTGTCTTTACCTGGAAGTAGCGACTGCATGCAGCCAGCACAGCACGGTGGCAGGGGAAGGAGCGGCTCCCAGCGTGGAGGAGGACATCGGTGAAGAGCTGCTGCTGCCGGAGCGTGTTGAGGTGTGTAAGGACACTGTCCGCGTACGATGACTTGTGGAACAGGAAGATGTTCATGGACGCCGAGCTGAGGCAGGATTTGCGGTTCTCACGCATGCAGACAGACATTTTCGTTGGATCCTTTGAGAAGAGGGAGCGAGAAGAAGAAATGAGATTGATATCTAGTCCTGATTTATAATACTACAAGCTGCATTGAAAAGCCTCTATACTGTTATTTTAATATTTGTTGCACAACTCTGATCTTGAGTGCTTAGACAGATTAAATGTTTTTACCTGCTTTTAACACCAATAGCTCATACACTAGGTCAGTGTTTTTTTTGGTTACTGTACCACCAAGTACATTTTGCTCTGCCCAGACTACCCACTCATGTGCATGTTACCAGTCTCATAAGCCTATGGTCTCACAAGCCTTCTCAATTAGGGAAGGGGATACCTAGTCAGTTCCAAAACTGAATGCATTCAACTGAAATGTGTCTTCCACATTTAACCCAAACCCTCTGAACCAGAGCGGTGCGGGGGGCTGCCGTAATCAACATCCAGTTGTTGTTGGGGGTTAACTGCCTTGCTCAAGGGCACATTTTCTAACACCTTGCCGGCGGTGGGGATTCAAACCAGCAACGTTACGGTTACTGGCCCAACAGCTTTAACCGCTAGGCTACTTGTGGATAGGTGAAGTACCCCCGGGGATACTAGTACCGATGGTTGAGAACCACTGCACTAGGCTAAACCCACTCACACACAATGGAAAAGCGTTACTGTCAGCTCCTGTCTTGAACGCATTAGTAAGCCTTCTCTGCCAGAGACAATGGCATCTTGACTTTGAGTGATGTCATACAAGCCAAACTCCTGACGTTTTTCCTCTAGAAATATAGAGCCATCCTAAATCGCAAACAGGTGTCTGCCTCTGAGGCAACTCCCCAACTCTGTCTGTTAGCTGGAAAACATTGCTCTGTTGTCTGTGATCTTGGTATCCCAATGGCTTTAATGTTTTCGCCTTTCTAGGGAGTTTTTCCTAGCCACCGTGCTTCTACACCTGCATTACTAGCTGTTTGGGGTTTTAGGCTGGGTTTCTGTACAGCACTTCGAGATATTAGCTGATGTAAGAAGGGCTATATAAAATAAAATTGATTGAAATTGATTGATTGATTTGTGCAGAATTATTTCACAAGCAATTTTAGCGGAATCAACATGTGAAGAACAAACTAGCTGTGGGGAGAGGTCAAGGTTTCAGCCAAACACTTAAAGCCATTAGCCAGCAGCTATACTTATTTAAATAACATATTGATTATACTACTAGTACCCAGGGGGTGGCTGGATAGATAATTAGATGATGCCTCATCTGTGTATTTGCCAGTTAGCACATTATGGAGAGAACTGTATCAGCCTAATATTCACATTACTAGGACCACGTGAGTTACTAGGCTATATGAATGTAATCCATATGCTTTACAGGCAATGGTATGGTCTCATACCAGTTGAAACTCAAGGCTGTTTTGACCACAGAGATCCTATAAATCAGTTCTATATGTAACTATATGGTGTTGACAGCCCTGATATTAATATGATGTAGGTCTTTTAAACAGTTATTACATGTGTTATTAAAGTGTTATGGTCTGAATCTCCAGTCTGAGCCTTGATGTAGCTGTAGTATGAAATATGTGGTGTGGGGAAATATTACCCTCACACAACAACACTGAATTGTAGTAATTTGCACCCAAAACTGGAGTGCTTTGAAATGTACAGTATATCAACAATATTCCAACAAAAAATGTATGCATCACACCAACAAGTTGTTGTAGCCCCGAATCTCTAACTATAATATTTTATTTTCATGCCTGATTATTGCAGATCTTCTGAACCCCAGATGATATAGTAGATACACATTTACCTCCGACTGAATAAGAGCATGACACTCCGGTCCAGTGAGAACCACGATGCTCTCGTGACCGATATTTTTCTCTCCTCTTGAAAAAGATACAAAGTTGCACTGCTAGACTCCAAAAAAGGCGTAATTTGTCGGTTCTCTCCTGTAGTCTCGATGCGCGATCTCGTTCATTGAAACGAATAAGATATTAGTTTTCTTCTGTCATAATACACAGTATGAGATCTGGAATGTAGGTTAAGAGGAATGTCGCCAGTCTTGTAGTCGAATGTCTTTCGCTTTGATTCAGCGAGAGGTAAGAGCTGTGGGAAGAAAGGAGATGGTTTTAAAGTGTGATGTGGGAGGGGCAATCTTCAAGAAAGGGGACAGCGTATGCAAACTAGTAGGGCTATTTATATTTTAGTCATTTAGCAGACGCTCTTATCCAGAGCGACTTACAGTTAGTGAGTGCTTTAATTTTTCACACTGGCCCCCCGTGGGAAACGAACCCACAACCCTGGCGTTGCAAGCGCCATGCTCTACCAACTGAGCTACAGGAGGGCCTTTTTAAATGTAGTCACTCAACAACCCTTCTTTCCTTGCTGATTCTGAAGAGCTACGGGGTGTGCAGCCTTTGGGTTCCACATATATGCTCTAAAACACCTGATTCAAATAATCATGAAGACTTTGATTAGCTGAATCAGGTGTTTTAGTGCTGGTCTGGAACAAGGCCTGCACCCAATAGCTATCCAAGCTAAAGGTTGTTGCAAGATAAATGGCTTTGAAATAATTCACCACACAATATCTAGTTATATGACAAAAAGTATTCTAATTTACCTTAAAATACCAATGACTGTACTGATGCCCACCATTGACACAGATTGCTGCTATGCATACTAGTTGACTGGTGTTGAGTGCTTTCAGCTGTTTTGCTCAAGCACATCCATTAAATAGTGAATAGCACCACCTGCTGGTGGAAAGTGGTCTCAACCCCGGTGTATACATTCTGTCAACAGTAATAGGAGATCCTTCCTGCGTCTACAGAAACCCCCTGGGAACGCTTAATAAAACCTTTTATGAATAAGCGTTAATACAATATTTATAAACTATTAATAAATATGTATTTCATTATTTGTGAAGATTTTTATTTATGGGAATGAAAACTCTTCATGACTCGTACTCTTAAATGAACATTTTGATTTTTTTTTATCCTTGCTCCTTTCTCTATCTTTAAAAAAAAATGTACAGTCTCCTTGGGTTTTTTGAAAGGGGCTTTAAATAAAATGTATTGTTATTATTATTTATTGAAATGATAGTATTTTAGCATTTCAATAGCTATGTGGCAGGCAGGCTTCACCGGTCTGTAAATTAATTGTCATAATTACTCTCCCAACACAACCATTCTTGGCAAAGTCTCAAACAATACCCCCCTTGGTGTATCTCACCTCACAACTCTCAAAAAAAGCTTATTCAACAACACATGTCATTGAAAACTCCTGTCTTATTCACCCAGGTCGTGTCCCAAATTACACCCTATTCCAGGGATCATCAACTAGATTCGGCCGCGGGACGATTTTTTCTTGAGCGGATGGTCAGGGGGCCGGAACATAATTACAAATCATTTGTAGACTGCGAATTGACCGCAAGAAGCCCAAACATATATCATATTTGACTAAAACATAATCATTTAAAACCTTGCCTACATTTGTATACGATCACATATAGAATTGAAGTCGGAAGTTTACATACACCTTAGCCAAATACATTTAAACTCAGTTTTTCACAATTCCTGACATTTAATCATAGTAAAAAAATACCCTGTTTTAGGTCAGTTTTAAGAATGTGAAATGTCAGAATAATAGTAGAGAGAATGATTTATTTCAGCTTTTATTTATTTCATCACATTCCCAGTGGGTCAGAAGTTTACATACACTCAATTAGTATTTGGTAGCATTGCCTTTAAATTGTTTAACTTGGGTCAAACGTTTCAAGCCTCCTTGCTTGCACACGCCTTTTCAGTTCTGCCCACAAATGTTCTATAGGATTGAGGTCAGGGCTTTGTGATGGCCACTCCAATGCCTTGACTTTGTTGTCCTTAAGCCATTTTGCCATAACTTTGGAAGTATGCTTGGGGTCATTGTCCATTTGAAAGACCCATTTGCGACCAAGCTTTAACTTCCTGACTGATGTCTTGAGATGTTGCTTCAATATATCCACATAATTTTCCTTTCTCATGATGCCATCTATTTTGTGAAGTGCACCAGTCCTTCCTGCAGCAAGCACCCCCACAGCATGATGCTGCCACCCCCATGCTTTACGGTTGGGGTGGTGTTCTTCGGCTTGCAAGCATCCCCCTTTTTCCTCCAAACATAACGATGGTCATTATGGCCAAACAGTTCTATTTTTGTTTCATCAGACCAGAGGACATTTCTCCAAAAAGTACGATCTTTGTCCCCATGTGCAGTTGCAAACCGTAGTCTGGCTTTATGGTAGGTTTTGGAGCAGTGGCTTCTTCCTTGCTGAGCGGCCTTTCAGGTTATGTCGATATAGGACTTGTTTTACTGTGGATATAGATACTTTTGTACCTGTTTCCTCCAGCATCTTCACAAGGTCCTTTGCTGTTGTTCTGGGATTGTTTTGCACTTTTCGCACCAAAGTACGTTCATCTCTAGGAGACAGAACGCGTCTCCTTCCTGAGCGGTATGACGGCTGCGTGGTCCCATGGTGTTTATACTTGCGTACTATTGTTTGTACAGATGAACATGGTACCTTCAGGCGTTTGGAAATTGCTCCCAAGGATGAAAAAGACTTGTGGATGTCTACACATTTTTTTCTGAGGTCTTGGCTGATTTCTTTTGATTTTCCCATGATGTCAAACAAAGAGGCACTGAGTTTGAAGGTAGGCCTTGAAATACATCCACAGGTACACCTCTAATTGACTCAAATTATGTAAATTAGCCTATCAGAAGCTTCTAAAGCCATGACATAATTTTCTGGAATTTTCCAAGCTGTTTAAAGGCACAGTCAACTTAGTGTATGTAAACTTCTGACCCACTGGAATTGTGATACAGTGAATTATAAGTGAAATAATCTGTCTGTAAACAATTGTTAGAAAAATTACTTGTGTCATGCACAAAGTAGATGTCCTAACCGACTTGCCAAAACTATAGTTTGTTATCAAGAAATTTGTGGAGTGGTTGAAAAACAAGTTTTAATGACTCCAACCTAAGTGTATGTAAACTTCCGACTTCAACTGTAT